AATCATAATCAAATAGTAATTGAACATCTCATAAGTAACTTCATTCAGTGGCATATCCTTCAAAATTTCAAGATTTCATTCATCATCAATCAAAACCCCATAAGACGGTTTTCCCTTTTTATATACAACATATAGTTTGAACATAATTATTACTTGGAGCACAAAACATAAATCTACTCACAATACCACAGAAGCAAGTACTAAGGATTGGAAAGTGGTTACCTCTCGCCTAAGCAAGGAATAACAAACCGACAATGTGGCCCCGTGCACCACCAAGACTCACAACCGGTTTACACAAGCACACAAATACACAACCATCATATATTAGCTTTCAAACTAATAATGTGGCCAACACAACACTTGGGGACACAAAATTCTTATCTCCCATCAAAACTCTACCCAACTCAAAGGGTAAATCTATCAAGGCAACACTCCAAAGTCATACCAATCCATTAAAACTTTAATTCCTTTCCAAACATCAATTAAAATTCATAACCTCAAGGACCCACTATAGGAATTCTATACCCAAACATCCCATTTGAGCAATTAAGGTTCCAACAACAAATCTAAACCGATTAAACATCCAATTTAACCCTCCTTAACATAACCCAATTCACAAAACTCAGAATCAACCTCTACATTGTCATCCTCAATCCCAAATCACCTATTTCCATAAACCCTAACTCTAAAAATTCAAGATTCTTTAAATCCAAGGAAACTATACCGATTAAATACTTAAACTAACCCAAAGCAATCAATTAAACTCAAAACAATCGGTCAAAAACCTCAGTTCCATCACAACCTAGAAAATCCTAGGGTTCCATCACAAATCCTCAAAAATTCCAAGAAATTCCAAGAAAGAAAGAAGATTAGAGGTTAAAATCACTTACTTGAGGTAATGGATCCTTCGAAATGCCCCCTCCAAGCCAGAAATTCGAAACCCTAGCAGAGCTCCTCTCTCCTCCTTCAGATTTTCTAATTTTCGCACAACTGAACCCTCTAGCGACTATATAGATTCGGGACCTTTTGCCGCGGCGAACTCCAATCTTCGCCGCGGCAAAAGCTTCCCGAGAGGAAACTCTCGCTCGCCTAGAAAAACTTCACCGCAGCATGCCCTTACCTTCGCCGCGGCGAAACCTTCCCGAAAGGGAAGCCTCGCTCACCTGAACAACTTCGCCGCGGCGTCCCTATGACTTCGCCGCTGCCAAACCTTCCCGAGAAGACACTCCCTTCTAAAACTCCCGGTTCACTTTGCCGCGGCGAACATACCCTGAGAGGGGTACGTTCACCTATTCCTCCAACATACCTCAAATTCAACCCAAACACCAAGATCAAGATTAAATCGCTAATCTATCCTCAAAATCAACCAAAAGAGGCTATTAAAACCCGATAAGACTTAGGATGTTACACCATTACTTATTGGGATGAGGAAAAAGTGAAGGCAAGAGTGAAATCAGAAAAGAATAGCGACAGAGGCATACTGCATGGCGTTCCGAGTGTCGGTGGGGCTTCAACAAGTGCATCCAACACAGGAATAAAGCTAACCCACCCTGTAAGTAAATCATGTGAAGCTTATTTTGGTGCTATGTAGAATTTGGAGTAATGATAACTTTCATTACTGTTGTTTTGCAGGAAATCAAGAGAACGTATGAAAGGTTGATGACCATGGTTGAAGGGTTGGTGTCGACAATTGGAGAAGAGTTGGTTTTCCTGCAGTTGAGGTTGACGGATGAGATTGACAAGGAAGATGTGGTGGAAGCAGTAAGTAGCAAAGATGACAAAGAGAAGGCAACTGAAGATGAAGAAACCGGTGAAGAAGGTAAAGGAAGCCCAAAAGATTCAATTCTGTCACAAGAAGAACAACAGAGTGAACCAGAAGGAGATGATAAAGAAGAGGGCAAAAGTGCTTCGCGTGAAGAAGAGAGTCAATCTCAACCTAAGGAGAAAGGAGAAGGGAGTCACTCTGGATCAGAGGATGATGGAGAAGAAAAAACACAAGACAAGTCTAGTGATGCAGCAACAGAAGAGGATAAGGGTGTAGGCGATGAAATGGAGGGAAAGGATGAAATGGACCAGCAAGCACAAGGGCAAATGGATGTAAGAAGATCAACACGGGTGAGAAGCCGTGCAATCAAATCTCCCTGGTTAGAGGAGGTGAAAAAAGGCCGTGGCAAGAGAAAAGCTGACGAGAAAGAGGAATTATTCCAGATGTGCACGAGAAGATGTGATCAAGATGAAGGTGCCAAGTAAGTGTTGGGACTGATTGTAACTGGGACAACTGACTGACAACAATTTTACACATACAACCCTTGTGCTCATTGTTCCTTTTGCTGCAGGTACATTGTAGAGATGTATGGGTACTTCTTGACACGTGCTGAGCTTTGCTGCCTACAAGACAGGAAATGGATGAACGACAGGGTAAGACAGTTGTTTATATAGATAGAGAACTGCGAATGTCATTATGATCATGACTAACTGTTTGTATGTGTGATATAGTTCATGTCTATGGTAGCGAGAACCTTGGTGGGAGATGAAAAAGAGAACCACGGTCGTGTCAGTAGGCACATTTTTTCACCTGAGTTAATGCAAACAATGGCCGCTAATCCTCTTAGGTGGAGCCTGGAAAAACATGAACATGAAATCTTACCGGAGCACATAGGATATAACATTGGAGACTGTGACTTCATATTTGGCCCCACCCTTTTCAATTACCATTGGTTCTGTTACGTGATGGATGTAAGAACCATGTGTTTCTATGCCCTTGACTCGTTGGTGGACAATTTGACGATGTTGAGATTACAAAGAGAGGAAGAAGAAGCAATGAAAACAGGGAAGAAACCACAAAGGGCAAAAAAGAGAGGACAGATAGATCCTAAGCAATTTATGGCGAGAGGGATTGTATGCACAACTTTACATTCATTCTATAACTTGTTAATGCGTTATGGTTGCTTGTCTGCTTAACTGTCTTGGTTGTTAATGCCTGCTGATTACTTGTCATTGGCTACAGCGAAGGTTGTTAATGCTTCCTGATAACTTGTCATTCACAACTGTCAAACTTGTTTCTTCTGTTTGTCCCTTTTTTGCAGAGAGATTGTTTCTACCAAGTGCTTTGTGTGCTGAAGCCATCACTGTTTGCAGAGGAGGACAAGATTGACGAGGAAGTCACATGGGCAAAAGTTCATGTGCAATCTGACACGTGAGTTATTTTTCAGCACAACAAGTACTTGTGTCTCAACTTTTGGGAGCTAATGTTCATTCACTAAAGTACTTGTTTTTCCTTTGTAGGGACTCTTGTGGGGTTCATGTGTTGAGCTGGTTACAAACATGGGACGGCACTGAGTATGGTGACAATGGCTACACAATGCCTAAGTACTCCCCTAAAGAAATCCATGACTTGAAGGTTGGATGCTTGTGGTGGCTCGTGACTCATCGGACCAACCTGCATGGCGATGAAGTGCTATCTTTGCTGCGAGGAAACCCCCAAAGCAAGAGGAAGAAATAAATGACAAGCATATATTGTATTTACATTTATTTATTTGACTGCATAGTGACATCTGAACGTCAAGTTCACATTTTATTCTTTTCTTTGAGCATGTATGAATCCTGCATGTTAAGATATGCTAATGTGTTTTGATATCCTTTACTGGTTATCAAGTTTTTGTAAAGGCATTCATGTGTTTTCATCATGGCCACAAATGCAGACTGAATAAGACTGGATAAATAAATGGTAACCATGGTGACATGATAGGCATATATCAGAGTCCTCTCTGCCACATCTGTTTACAACCTCAACAGGGGTTGTTCACAACTGTAACAGAAATGATTAACAACATTGGCAGTTCCCTTGACAACTCACTCGAGGTATAACACAGCTGTTAACTTAATTATATTATCAGCACATATAACGACCTTAATAGCAAAAATTGGGAGCATTTTAAAGTTATTAACAGCTTTAAAAGAACCAAATCATATTACAGCAGATTTTTATTGCAGCAATTCATTTACAACATCAACAGGGATTGTTGACAACCCGAACAGAATTGGTTAACAACCTTCGCATTGCCCCTGACAACTGACGCTGGGGATACCACAACCTCCACATGAGATCTAATTCTAACCAAATCATATCATATTATGACTTTAACACAGCTCGAATGTCTTAAGAAATCACTGAACACTGAAAGTAGGAGAAATTGTCACTTTATATCAGTAACATAATTGAGACTGCTAATGACAACCTGCATGGCGTCTGATAACAAGTCCATTACAACCTATTCACCAGTACATCAAAAATACAGAAATGATGTTATATCAGATTACATCCAGGTGTCATTTACCACTTGATATATATATGTACAACATAACTACGCCAAATTTACAACCTATTCAAAAAAGCATACGTGTTGCATGTGTGGATAATGACGGACAACTTGAGGTGTAGGTTATGACATTTACAAAAAAAATGCTGTCACAAGCATTCACAAAACGAAATATCAACAAGCCACCACCAAAGCTCAACTTGGATTGGGGTTCTGGCAAGTCTTCACAGTGTGGCCTGGCTCATGGCATCTTCCACAGTGGTAAAGTTTTTTACTTTGAAATTGAGATTCAATCCTTCTTTTCTTTGGCCTTCCTGAGGGTCTTTTAGTGATTGGTGGCTGTAAAAATGTTCCCATCATCATCTGTATAATGGTGAGAGCTTCGGGACGAGGACAATCATGTGTCGCAATTAGCCTCATACTACTTGCATATATCTTCTCTTGGGCTGACAGCTTATAGCAATCATCTACAAATTCATAAACACTACCATGAAGTAGCTTTATCGCTGCACAGGCATGAGCACAAGGTACTCCGCTCATTTGCCATGCTAAACAAGTGCATTTGTGAGCTGTGAGATCAACAGTGACACAAATTATTCCAGTAGGAGATGTAGTATCAACTTGAACTCGGTTATCTCCATAATATACAGTATGCATATTCTCCGCTCTTGCTACTTTTTCTTACAACTTGGACTCAATATTTGGCCCAACGCCATTTGTCCAATTTTCCATTGCCATTTTGTTTGCAACCATCTTCTTGGCTAATTTCTCCATATGCTCATGTATGAGAACTGACACATTGTGCTTCCTCTCCTTCAAAATCCAGGCATTAAACGACTCCGCAACATTAGTGGTGATGTTATCCCATTGTTTAAACGGGAATTTGCTTAAAGCCCACCGATCTACATCTCCTTGAGTGTCAACCCAATCAGCTAATTGTGGACAGAATGATCTAAGTTTCCCCATTGCAGCAACATATTCATCCTCAATCCTTGCATAGGCGATTCCATCCAGCATTTTCAATGCAACGTCCTTTGAAGTACCTGAAACTCGTCCCCTGCCTCGGTTAATTTTTAAATAATGTGCACTAAAATTTTCTTTCACATGCCTATAACAAAAAGCATGTCTCTCGCCACCAAATATTGTTCGCACAGCACCTATAATGGCATTATTCTGATATGAAACTATCATTGTCTCCACTGATCTTGTGATGTCTTTGACGTTCTGGAGAAACCAAGCCCAATCATCATATGTCTCCCCACTAACTATAGCATATGCTAATGGAAACAGTTCATTGTCCGCATCATATGCATTAGCTGAAATCAATGTCCCCCTTGTAAGGACCACTTAGATGACAGCCGTCTATATAAAGTATATGTCGACACCCCTTCTAAAAATCCATTAATTGAGCATCCATAAGCAATGAACACCCTCTGAAATCTGTTACTATCCAACCCTTCCCATCGAGCACTTGTGTTTGGATCAGTTTCAATGAGCCTTTCACAAATCCAGGGAATCGCCATGTATGAATCCTGTGCACGACCATGTATTTCCCTCAATGCTCTTCTCTACCCTTGTATGCTTGACTATAATTCAGTCGCACCCCATATTCTCTATACAGATCTCTTCTAATTTCATTAGCATTCTTGTCTATATTACACCTCAAAGAATCTATCATGATTGATGATGTTAAGTTTGACCCTCTAGAGTGAGATACAACCAAGCTGTCCTGTGCATAATGCACATGCTCACTTCTTAAGGTTCTAATTATTAACAACTCAGAATCTTGTCTTTGTCCCATTGAGTATGCACCCATATACCACGGGCATCCCTCCGCCATACACTTCACAATGATCTTTTGTTGATTGTTCTTCACAAACTTGTATGAAAACTTCACAGCAATACTGTACCTATACAGTGCTTGCCTAAGAGCCACTGCATTAGGAAAAATCTGTCCTTCTCCGATAACCAAACCCTTCCACTTTGTTGAATTCATTTCCGGAATTGGGGTTGGCATATTTCTGAACCACATGGCAACAATAGTGGGTCTTCACTAACCACATTAGGTGGAGACATGGACAATGTATCTGAACCTCCGAACAAGTCTTCCATCCTACATAACAGAACAGGTCAAGGGGTCGTTAATGACAACCTTCGATCACTATAATAACAACTTATGCACAACAGTTGACAATAGCTAATATTACTTCGAAATTTAAATAACACAACTTACACATGTTGCTCTTCTATTACAACATCCCTTGTTAGTTGTGAATTTTGATCTCCATTTTCTCCTATATATACATGACCACTGTCGCCATTGAAGTTAATCAAATGTTCTACTCCTTCATCATCTACAAGGTCCACAAATGTACACTCATCAAAGGTTACTGTGAATTTCATAACCATTCCATTACTTCTCTTTCCCACAATTGATGCCACCATTGTTCTAAATTCTCCATATGATGTCCCTTCTTTATCATTCTTGTTCTCACACCACCTCCAACATACTGCGTTTCACCTTCTACACCATTAATAAATTGTCCTCCTATATGGAGGTAGCAAAACAATTGCTTTGCACTGGAAGTTGCCATCCTTGATATCAACCTGCCACAATCACTTGTTAATAACAAGTCATACAGTTATGTTAACAACCTTCGATGTATCCATTAACAACACATTTAACCATCGCATTTGAGGGGTTACAATAATAAATATCTGTTATTTTCCACTCATTTCCATCAGCAACACAGCATCATTGACCGAAAAACAGAGCATCATTCACCGAAAAACAGAGCATTGCTTTCTAACCATAGCCACACATAGTAAAACCACACCTAACATGATTAAAACCACATATGACTAAAATGAGCCTCCCTTGATATTTCTAGAGAGTTGAATCACATGCTTAATACCCACGTATCAACACCCAATCAACTTTTCAGACCAGCATTAAAGCTGCGACTGGTTGTTAATAACAAGTCATACAGTTATGTTAACAACCTTCGATGTACCCATTAACAACACATTTAACCATCGCATTTGAGGGGTTACAATAATAAATATCTGTTATTTTCCACTCATCTTCATCAGCAACACAGCATCAGTGACCGAAAAACAGAGCCTCATTCACCGAAAAACAGAGCATTGCTTTCTAACCCTAGCCACACATAGTAAAACCACACCTAACATGATTAAAACCACATATGACTAAAATGAGCCTCCCTTGATATTTTTAGTGAGTTTGAATCACATCTTTAATACCCACATATCAAAACCAATCAACTTTTCAGACCAACATTAAACTTGACACTGGTTGTGTACAGAAGAAGAGAAATGTTGTTAATGATGAGACGTACCAAGAAGATGAAGAAATAATGTCGCTTGCCTGCAATGGAGTACCAGCGCATAACTCCCTTCTTTCTTTCAGAAGCTTCTCTTCCTTGTGCATGCATAACAAACAACCGCACTAAATGAAGCCAATCAGCGTCTCTCCCTCTTTTCTTTCCTTTATCAATGACTGAGGGCAAGTACGTAATATCACAACTCAAATTATTTACCCAGAGGTCCCTGGGGACTTAGGAGGAATTGGGGATTTCATGGGACCTTCTGGCTGGTAGTAAATTCTCTTCTGTGGGACTCTACAGTAATTTTCCCAATAATGTATTATATATTATGGATTGTTATTGATTTTATTTTTGATTGATGCATGGAATTAAATATAAATTTATCTAGAACATATCATATATAGCAAATTTTTTTATCTTATTTTAAGAATTTTAATATTTTTATTAATTGCACTTAAAAAGTTTAGAGATTATTTTTAGGGTTAAAGTATACATCTAGCATTCTAAAATATTTTGTAAGAGCACTCTAAAGTATTTTTATGTACGTCCAACATTTTAAAGTGTTTTTTTTGTCTTGATGTTGGATCACTAAAAATATTTTTTAAGGTGTTGAGCTCACCTGAAAAAAATACTTAGGATACTAAATGCATCAAAAAATATTTTAAGGTAC